TTTTGCAAGATATGTCCTGAAACGTTGGTGATTTTATTTCACATCCATGGGTGAGGTATATATTTAAAAACAATAGCCCTCAATGAATGTCAACTAGGACTGGTTAAAATCTGATGACTTAAGTCACTTATATATAATGATACAACCATAAGTATTAAGAGACATTGAGGACACATTCCTCTCATAAATGTCCAGAAGCCATCTTTTTGCTCTTGGACACTGGGATCTAAGGCTCTAATCATCAAGGTCACACATCATTATAATATATTGTGAACTGGTGTAGTCAGTCAACAACATGTGGGTAACATAAGTTTAATCAAAACCTTGTCAGTTTTCTACATCAATCAGAAAGTTAATGAACATGTATCAGTTATGGGAGAAATAGATCATGTTATTCCTATGAAATTATTGGTAAAAAGCACTTCTTGGTAATATAAATATATATGTCTTATCTGTTTGCTACTAATAAGGCTGAGCCTATACCCACATCTTTATCTTGACAATATATAAAACAACTTTTGTTTATCATGTGAAGCTTATATACATATCATATGTAAATAAATCATCTACATAAATTATGTAGATACACTGAAGACATCAATGGCAAAGTAAGTCAGTATACTGTACAGGTATGGAGAAACATAACATTCACAATTAAAGGTACAATAGATACCATACATTATAAATTTATACTGTACAGGTATAGAGAAACATAACATTCCCAACTAAAGGTACAATAGATACCATAAGTTATAAATTTATACTGTACAGGTATGGGGAAACATAACATTCACAGTGAAAGGTACAATAGATACCACACATTATAAATTTATACTGTACAGGTATGGAGAAACATAAAATTCACAACTAAAGGCACAATAGATACCATAAGTTATAAATTTATACTGTACAGGTATGGAGAAACATAACATTCACAATTTAAGGTACAATAGATACCATACATTATAAATTACAGTCACACAAATTCTTGTAACAATGACATACATGAATATAAGTCATGGTCATACTTCAATCACAGTATTTGGTAAATTAAGATATATCATTAAAAGTAAATAACACCACAATTAAAATTGAAAAATAAACAACTCTCACAAAAGAACTGCATGATCACCAGGTTATAAAACTTGACTGACAACATACAAGAAATTTCAGTACCTCTTATAAAAAACAACAGATGATTTCAATCGGGCAAAAATATAGAACATTTCAGCCTCCTGGCCTTCTTCAAAGACAAACATTTAGTGTGAGCCAGGTGACAAGTCATTCCTGACATGGAGCTGCTTGTCTGTAGGTTTCTTATAGAGGTCTGTGTATATCCTGCCTTGAAAAAGGCCAGGAGACCGAGATATTGGGACTCAGAGTGACATTTCCTTATACAGTATCTCTGAATTGCTAACTGAATAGTGGTAAATATAGGACAGAGATTGCTTGTGTCCAACATGAGGTGGACTTGTACCGATACTTGACAAAGGAATGCATAGAATATAGGTAAAAATAAAATTTAAAAAAGAATTGAATAATCAACCTTTGTGCATACTTTGAAACATTTTCATCAGGTTGTTAAATACAAATCATATACAGGTTCACATAGGATAACCATTCAAATATATCTGACATTTTTATCACTATGATAATATATTTAAATTGTTTTGTACTTCGCTCTCCTTGTCCACTACCGTACTTTGCTCTCCTTGTCCACTACCGTACTTTGCTCTCCTTGTCCACTACCGTACTTTGCTCTCCTTGTCCACTACCGTACTTTGCTCTCCTTGTCCACTACCGTACTTTGCTCTCCTTGTCCACTACCGTACTTTGCTCTCCTTGTCCACTACCGTACTTTGCTCTCCTTGTCCACTACCGTACTTTGCTCTCCTTGTCCACTACCGTACTTTGCTCTCCTTGTCCACTACCGTACTTCGCTCTCCTTGTCCACTACTTTGGAATATCCCGGTCAATAAAATAATTTTGCAGTGAGGCATGATCGCGACTACCAATTTATTGATATAGGACTCGAATTGCTTCCTTTCTAATCTGGTGATTTTTTTCCTTTTGGGGTTTTCATGTCTATAACTAGTGTTCATCAAGTCCCCAAACCACATTCCAGGGTCTTATATTTGTTACACTGCAGTTATATATATGCATCCAATTTTGTACATGCATTCTGCAACATTTCTTTATGCGTTTCCTCCGGATCCTTAGAATGTACATGTTTTAGTCGTAGGATATTAGTATACTATGATATTTTTGGATGTTTTGTAGGGTTTCATCACTGTTATGTTGCTATGCCATGACTGCGATTGGATGGTTTCAGATAACCCATTTAAACAAGGAGCTCGAGTGCATGACCGCATCTGACTTATCATTTGGTTCTAATATCCTCGATGGGTCTCTTTTGTCCTTTCACTTACTTTCAAATTGTTTGTTTACTCTCCTGAGTGCTCATACCAGATATCACTCTTTGTATACGTACACTTTACCTGTCATTTGGCTGAAGAAGGTGACTGAGTAAATATTGTACTTACATGTAGTCATCCAAATATCACATAAACATGACTCTAGCTATAGGCTTCTTGTTGTTGAAGTTATTTGAGGTTTGAACATATAAAAAAGAAAACAATGTAGAATCACACATTAAATAGACTTAACAATTTGACAGCACTTCATCAAAAATATGTAGATATAAATATCTAGTAAATAACTTGAAAATATTAAGCACTACACAGCAACGTCTGCTTGCCATACACAAGTGAAAAAACAACTTCCTTGGCATGATATAAGCATCAATAACATATATGTTTGTCTTTATTTAAATATTTGTAAAGCTGGTATGACTAGAGTTTCATTTGATAAAGGTGGTACTGACAGCCATGAATGTCTATCAGACTCACACCAGTGACGACTGATAATGCTGTAAATGAGCCTTGTTAATCCAGACATTTCTTTCCCCAGTAAAAGTGACTGGATTACAGGAAACGTTTTGAACAAAAAAGGTAAATACATCCCATAACCACTGGTTGGAGTGTAATATATCCTCTGGATTAATAGAGTCTGGATCAAGATGGCTAGAGTAACGAGGCTGGATAGTAGGACTACCCCTAAATTACTGGTAGCTGGCCATGGATGAACAAGGTTGGACCGTGGGACAACCCATAGAGCAATGGTAGCTGTATGAACAGGGTTGGACTGAGGGAAAAGCCATAGATCAATGGTGGCTGTCTGAATAAGGTTACACCATGGGACACCCCATAGAGAAATGGAAGCTGTATGAACAAGGTTGGACTGAGGGACAAGGCATAGATCAAAGGGGGCTGTCTGAATAAGGTTACACCATGGGACACCCCATAGAGAAATGGAAGCTGTATGAACAAGGTTGGACTGAGGGACAAGGCATAGATCAAAGGGGGCTGTCTGAATAAGGTTACACCATGGGACACCCCATAGAGCAATGGTAGCTGTATAAACAAGGTTGGACTGAGGGACAAGCCATAGAGCAAAGGTATCTGTATGAACAGGGTTGGACTGAGGGACAAGCCATAGAGCAAAGGTAGCTGTATGAACAGGGTTGGACTGAGGAACAAGCCATAGATCAATGGTGGCTGTCTGAATAAGGCTACACCATGGGACAACCCATAGAGCAATGGCAGCTGTATGAACAAGGTTGGACTGAGGGACAAGGCATAGATCAAAGGGGGCTGTCTGAATAAGGTTACACCATGGGACACCCCATAGAGCAATGGTAGCTGTATAAACAAGGTTGGACTGAGGGAAAAGCCATAGAGCAAAGGTAGCTGTATGAACAGGGTTGGACTTAGGGACAAGCCATAAATCAATGGTGGCTGTGTGAACAAGGTTGGACCGTGGTACAACCCATAGATCAATGGTGGCTGTATGAACAAGGTTGGACCGTTGGACAACCCATATAGCAATGGTAGCTGTATGAACAAGGTTGGACTGAGGAACAAGCCATAGAGCAAAGGTAGCTGTATGAACAGGGTTGGACTGAGGGACAAGCCATAGATCAATGGTGGCTGTCTGAATAAGGTTACACCATGGGACACCCCATAGAGAAATGGAAGCTGTATGAACAAGGTTGGACTGAGGGACAAGGCATAGATCAAAGGGGGCTGTCTGAATAAGGTTACACCATGGGACACCCCATAGAGAAATGGAAGCTGTATGAACAAGGTTGGACTGAGGGACAAGGCATAGATCAAAGGGGGCTGTCTGAATAAGGTTACACCATGGGACAACCCATAGAGCAATGGTAGCTGTATGAACGAGGTTGTACTGAGGGACAACCCATAGATCAAAGATGGCTGTAGGAACAAGGCTGGACTGTGGGACAACCCCTAAATTACTGGTAGCTGGCCATAGATGAACAAGGTTGGACCATGTGACAACCCATAGATCAAAGATGGCTTTATGAACAAGGTTAGACCGTTGGACAACCCCTTAATTTCTGGTAGCTAGCCATGGATGAACAAAGTTGGACTGTGTAATATATCCTCTGGATTAATAGAGTCTGGATCAAGATGGCTAGAGTAACGAGGCTGGATAGTAGGACTACCCCTAAATTACTGGTAGCTGGCCATGGATGAACAAGGTTGGACTGTGGGACACCCCATAGATCAAAGATGGCTGTATGAACAAGGTTGGACTGTGGGACAAGCCATAGATCAATGGTGGCTGTATGAACAAGGTTGGACCGTTGGACAACCCATATAGCAATGGTAGCTGTATGAACAAGGTTGGCCTGAGGGACAAGCCATAGAGCAAAGGTAGTTGTATGAACAGGGTTGGACTGAGGAAAAAGCCATAAATCAATGGTGGCTGTGTGAACAAGGTTGGACCGTGTGACATCCCATAGATCAATGGTGGCTGTATGAACAAGGTTGGACCGTTGGACAACCCATATAGCAATGGTAGCTGTATGAACAAGGTTGGACGGAGGGACAAGCCATAGATCAATGGTGGCTGTATGAACAAGGTTGGACCGGTGGACAACCCATAGAGCAATGGTAGCTGTATGAACAAGGTTGTACTGAGGGACAACCCATAGATCAAAGGTAGCTGTATGAACAAGGTTGGACTGAGGGACAAGCCATAGATCAATGGTGGCTGTGTGAACAAGGTTGGACCGTGGGACAACCCATAGATCAATGGTGGCTGTATGAACAAGGTTGGACCGTTGGACAACCCATAGAGCAATGGTAGCTGTATGAACAAGGTTGGACTGAGGGAAAAGCCATAGATCAATGGTGGCTGCAATGGATTAATGAAACTTGAGTGTATATCTCTCTGAGTGAATTAGTTTTAAAGCATAATCAACTCGATTCAGCTGGTATGTTCTTCAGATAAATGTTAATCCTGATAAATCCTCCTTATAACTGAGTATCAGATTATTATAACCTGTGAACATTTTAGGATTTCAGGAGGAAAAACCAAAGCAGACCTGTAGTAACCACAGGTTTCTAGTCAATTATCAGAACCCAATAATCACACAAATAAATTTTAATCCTTTAACCTTTTGAAATGTCCCTTATGAAAATGTCTGTGAACAGGGGTAAGAATCCACACTTATAATTCACTTTTGACCAATTCATAGTGACCAATCTTTCCATGTAAATACGTACCACGCATATATGTCCACAATTGTTTGACATGAAGATGCAATTGAAATAAACATAAAATCATTATCACAATATCACACATGACTTTGAGTTTCTTATTTCTGCCCGTTTCCGTTCAATCACTGTTGCTGTCATGGCAACCATTGCAAGTCTGGACGGTTCAATTTTGGATGGTGTTTCTGTTTTGGTATCGTCCCACACTTTGAACAGTTTTGTTTTTTCTATCTCCATGTCAAGTGGATCCTTGCCCTGTGCAAGTTGCTCCTTTTCTTTGGCAATTACTTCTTTTGCTTGGCTGATGAGCTCTTCTTGTATCTGTGGGGTGATAGGATGTTCGGCAATATGGACTGTGTTTGTCATTTTCACTCTGTTTACTGAAATGTGAATTTAAATCAAATTAAACTTTTATATGTGAATGGATTTCCATCAATGTAACATGGCTATCATTTGAATCAGATAATGAAATTAGTATAGCATATGTCACCTTGGTAAAATACTAGCCACACCCTACAGACTCTGCTACATGTAGCTAGGACATATGACTAGTGAACCAAAGGTCCCCGGTTCACTCAGACATTCAACATTGAAAAGAATAAAGTCCTCCATTCCATATAACATGACTTAAAAACATAATAATAGTACTACTGATAGTAATACTTAATCCAAGACAGATGGTGATTTTTGCCTTAAAACCATATATTACGCGAGTTCAGAGGGAGGATAATAACTAAGGTTATGACCATTGTTAACGTGACTTACCTGACTGAGGTAGTATAATGAAGGGATAAAATCCTCCCTGAGGGAGGTACATGACGCGAGTTCAAAGGGAGAATAATGACTAAGGTTATGACCATTGTTAACGTGACTTACCTGACTGAGGTAGTATAATGAAGGGATAAAATCCTCCCTGAGGGAGGTACATGACGCGAGTTCAAAGGGAGAATAATGACTAAGGTTATGACCATTGTTAACGTGACTTACCTGACTGAGGTAGTATAATGAAGGGATAAAATCCTCCCTGAGGGAGGTACATGACGCGAGTTCAAAGGGAGAATAATGACTAAGGTTATGACCATTGTTAACGTGACTTACCTGACTGAGGTAGTATAATGAAGGGATAAAATCCTCCCTGAGGGAGGTACATGACGCGAGTTCAAAGGGAGAATAATGACTAAGGTTATGACCATTGTTAACGTGACTTACCTGACTGAGGTAGTATAATGAAGGGATAAAATCCTCCCTGAGGGAGGTACATGACGCGAGTTCAAAGGGAGAATAATGACTAAGGTTATGACCATTGTTAACGTGACTTACCTGACTGAGGTAGTATAATGAAGGGATAAAATCCTCCCTGAGGGAGGTACATGACGCGAGTTCAAAGGGAGAATAATGACTAAGGTTATGACCATTGTTAACGTGACTTACCTGACTGAGGTAGTATAATGAAGGGATAAAATCCTCCCTGAGGGAGGTACATGACGCGAGTTCAAAGGGAGAATAATGACTAAGGTTATGACCATTGTTAACGTGACTTACCTGACTGAGGTAGTATAATGAAGGGATAAAATCCTCCCTGAGGGAGGTACATGACGCGAGTTCAAAGGGAGAATAATGACTAAGGTTATGACCATTGTTAACGTGACTTACCTGACTGAGGTAGTATAATGAAGGGATAAAATCCTCCCTGAGGGAGGTACATGACGCGAGTTCAAAGGGAGAATAATGACTAAGGTTATGACCATTGTTAACGTGACTTACCTGACTGAGGTAGTATAATGAAGGGATAAAATCCTCCCTGAGGGAGGTACATGACGCGAGTTCAAAGGGAGAATAATGACTAAGGTTATGACCATTGTTAACGTGACTTACCTGACTGAGGTAGTATAATGAAGGGATAAAATCCTCCCTGAGGGAGGTACATGACGCGAGTTCAAAGGGAGAATAATGACTAAGGTTATGACCATTGTTAACGTGACTTACCTGACGGAGGTAGTATAATGAAGGGATAAAACCCTCCCTGAGGGAGGTACATGACCCGGGTGATGGCAATGCTCTTATCTATACAAAGGTAGAGGATCACCAACTTGTCCTCCTTGTCTTTCTCAGATTCAGGGATTATCATTCCCCATCCAATCTTCTGGCCTTTAGTTACAGCATCCAAAGCTAGTAAAAGAACAATACAATTAAACATAAACAAAAAGATCTCACTAATGTACGTACATGGGCCTGCTCTCTTATCCAACACTACTATGTACAGTCAGTGGGAAGTTTGATGTGATTGGTGTAAAGGATTATTAGAGGAGATGAAATATATGAAATAACTCAATTACATATATACATTACATATTGATAAGATTTATTACAAGTAAATATTGCTGTAGACTTTATTTTACCACAATCTTCATTATGCCTTTTAATAATCTGCCACTATACTGTTCTGACTAAGATAGTATGCCATGACTGAGTGGTAACCGGTTGGTTTATATGAACACCAAATTAAGTGATTAAATGTATCTCAACTTTAAAATGTCTTTTTAAGGTCAAGAAACAAAACGAAATCGTTAATATTCAGGAAGTGCTAATACCTTCTTGCTGAGCCAAAAACCTGACAGTGTCTTGTCTATAAATAGAGGATAGTTCCAGCTGGAGTTCCTGGAAACAGGGAGTGCTCACTGCTATACCTGCTGGAATGTGTTCAGCATCAAAGTCGTCTATAAGCTCTATCTCAAAGAAGTCGAAATCTGAAATTAACATTCAGAGAACATGTTAAATATCTTTAACACTGTAGATGGAAACAGACATTGGTATTCTGGAAGTTTTATCGTCAAGGTGTGAGAAATTCAATATTTTTTTTTCTAAATTATGATCATTGATTACTAAAGATTAATGTCGAATGAACGTTTACTGATTGGTGCTATTAAGTTCACATATATGCTATGTATCATGAATTGCTGGTGTTGGAGGAGCCCTGAAGATAGCAGGAATCAGACTGTGGTACCTTTATCTGGCATGAAGGGATACGGTGACTGTAGCATGATAGGTTCTATGTGGTCGGAAACCATGGCGATATTGTTGTCCTCATCCACTTCTGATCCACTGGGCATTATCCAGTTCTTTATACGGTTCTGGAAAGTAGTTACAAAAAGGAATTAAGGGGGAGTAATTTGGGAAGGGATTTAGGAGGAGCCTTTTTGTTATTTGAATGACCCTAGAAACGTGAACAACAACATTGCAATCACCAGGAAAACACTCTCCAGTCCATTTTGAATTTTTGTTTTATTATATTCTGATTTTAATATGTCTTCTTTTAGTAAATATGTGTAATTGTTTAGAAATGCACAACTTTAAAAGACAACTTACTGATATATGTAGGTGGACAGTTATGACTCTATATGTTGACCAATTGGCAACAATAAATGTACCAGGTGGGGATACCTTGACCCAAATACAAACTTAATTCAAAATTCAGGTAAAATAATTGTTTTGATCATACTTTAACAAATTAACAACCAACTTATACTAGGTTTATAGACTGTAACATGAGTGGGGACATGTACAGGACTCACCACTGCTGTATCTCCAGTCTTAAAGATCTTTAGAGGCCAGAACACCCTGACCTCCACCGCATAGCCATTACCACACAGGGATAGGGTGGGCAGCATCTGGGACGGGTCTAACACAGTATAGTGGCGTGTGCCAACAGCCTTGGTGTTCTTACTGAACAACACCACCGGCCACTTGTGACCAATGTTTCTCAACTCCAGCTCCACTGTATCACCTTCACAGACAATAACACCCATTTACCAGATTATACCGATGTTTAGTAGGTATGGTAGGAAAAAGAAATCCAGTTTATAGCATATCTATAGTGTAGATAGAGGTTTCACATTAAGCAAGTGCGGTTTATCATATATAAACTCAAATTGTTGGTTTAAACTTTCTTTAAATCAAAACATTCACTAACTTCAGTTAGATAGATAATATAAAAAAAAAAAAAATAGTCACAAGCTGTACATGTGGAATTTCTTTCTATGATATACTTCTTTTTGTGCCAGTGATTGGTATTATTATTTTATAAAGAGAAATCAGGTAAATTAGGGATTGGTTTGAGGTGATACATTTATTTATATATATGCCATAATATTCAAATAGCTATAATTACAGCCCTACACCCAAATTTAATTGTTCATAACAGAAATCCTACAATGACGTTTCGCTTATTCATCTAATGAACATGATGCTAAGAGGGGAGGTTCTAAAAGTGGTATACATCAATTGTAGTTGAGGCTGGAGGACCAACTGCAGATACTGGGTCGAGGGTTAATACAGGGTAGGATATGGAAATGGTCACTATCGTCTTTTTATTATATACCACACATTGTTATTTTAACACAACACCAAAGTTTTTGCAATAATAGATAGAGAATAATACATGCCTTTTTCCATATCACACCCAGTATCAACCCGAGAATCCAATATCAGCCGCGGGCTGAAGGCCAGTGGGCTGATATTGGTCGAGGGTTAATTGATACTGGGTGTGATATGGAAAAAGGCATGTTTTATTCTGTTTATTATGTACTTACTAATAAGATACATATAGATCTTTCTTTTTCATATAATCTCCGCATTTTTCCATACTTTTTTCAAAATACGGAATAAAGGCAGAAATTAATGTCCAAATACTCCCATCCATATTATGGAAATCTGAGGTACGGGAAAGCGGAGCATAGGCGAGACATATCAATCTGAACGGCTTGTTTGTATATGCGATACGACACAAATGCTTTAACCCATATCAGCCCTCACTGTATCACACCCCTAAATGACGTTTTTAGATAGGAAAAATTAAAAGTACATGTGTTCCAAAAAGGGGGTGATACGTGTTTTGAGGGCTAATACGGAGAGGGCTGATACGGGTTTAGGGGTGTGATACGGTGAGAGATTTACAGCTATATCTACAAATTATCCCTAATTAAAGTTATTATGGTTAAACCATAACAAAAAGTCAACTACTCCAACTACTCAATGCCCATGCAAGCATTAGCCACCATAAACTGACAATTATGGGACTGTTTAAATTTGACAATTGTTCAAAATTTCACTTTTCAATGATTTACCATAAAGGTTAACAACTTTATGATTTGTGCACATTTTAATGTTTTGTTAACAATATTGCTAATCAGTAAGACATTTTCATGTATTTTTCCAGCATATATATAGGTGTTCTGATTGTCCCTGATATTCAAAATAGAAACAAAACCTAACCTGGTTATAAATTCAAGACCTAGCTAACTTTGAAAACAATTCAAACCTTAAAAATCAGATCATTGTTGGAATAGAAAGCATCTCATGACTTTAACATTCAAAGTAAGGATACGCTGGTATTAACTTCTCAAATACAATTGCTCCTTCATGCATCCTTTCACACAAACCAACTGACCTGAATGCTTTCAGAATTTGAATGTGAAAATTGACCAATCATAGACCAGGATTCTAGATGGCCCGAAGTGGCTTTTTATTAATCATGGTAATTAATATTGTAAATTAGGCTAAGTCCAATTTCTCCATATCATATATTTTTTGTCAGTTTTTCCATTTTTTTTCCATGTTGTCTCCTTTTTTCCCCCCATATATACTCTGTATAAAAAATACGGAAATCATTTTCTGCATTTCTCCATATTTTCCAATGGAAAAAAAGGAAAAATGCAGAGTTCTGCATAACTAAATATGGATATTTGAAGTGCGGGTTGGCCATCAATGTACATATCAGAGAAACTAACTAAAACGCAAAAACTTAAAGTTGACGGAGATGCTGACAAAGTCAATGGAACATAAAAGGTAGGCCGCATCCAGCATTTGGTGAATGGGTTGAGATGTACTAACTAAGATGCACGTATGGTGCAAGTTCGGTTGATCTAGCACTTATACTTTTAGAGAAACTAACTTAAACACAAAAACGTAATGTTGATGGAAATGCTGACAAAGTCAATGGACCATGAAAGGTAAAATATAGGCCGCATTCAGTATTTGATGCATGGGTTGAGATGTACTATCTAAGATGCATCTATGGTCAGATTCTGGTTGGTGTAGCACTTAAACTTTCAGAGAACACTAACTTAACGCAAACACTTAATGCTGATAGAGATACTGACAAAGTCAATGGACCATGAAAAGTATGCCCCATCCAGCATTTGATGTATCAGTTGATGAGATGTACTACCTACAAATTGTAAGATGCATGTATGGTCAAATTATGGTTGGTGTACATGTAGGACTTAAACTTTCAGAGAACACTAACTTAAACGAAAAAACTTAATGTTGACGCTGTCGCCGCCATCACCAGAAAAGCAACACCTATGTGTCGGATAAAGCACATGGTGGGTAATGGTGCATGCTAGGCAACTATGGTGTGTACCAGGTGGGTAAAGGTGCATGCTAGGCAACTATGGTGTGTACCAGGTGGGTAATGGTGTATGCCAGGCAGATAAAGGTTGGTTGGGGATACGGCACATTAACAGCTAGTAGTAACACACATGCAAAACATCACATATCACATACAAGTATATGACAAGCTCATATATACATCACAACACTGGTATATTCAAGGTTACAACATGATAAATCTACAGTATTAGATATCAATGTCTATAAATAGCATAATCTATGAAAGTATTTTCCATGACCCTAGTGAATCTGGCCTATTAAGGCATTAATTGACCGAGCTAGCATTCATATTTTCAGGTGGATAGATAGTACTAGACATAGGATATACAATGTAAGAGCTTACCTTCCTCGTACCGCTCCCCCAACGTATGACCCAGGCAGCTGCCATTGTAATACATGAGACCGCCTCGTGAGGACCAGCCTGTTGAGTTGTTGACCTTCCCTGGGTGTTTTTTCAGAGGGAACTGGTCATCACCTAACCCAATGGTTACCACAGAATCTTCATCTGGAAAAATACAGAGAATATTTCATTTGGTGGATATTTATTGATAACTAGAGATTTGCTTTTGTGAAAAAAACATATAGCTCCCTTCATTAGCCAATATTCTATACCTTTCCCATGCAAAATCAAAATATGTCAATACAACAGGCCCATTGGCCTTATCACCTGCGTTCTGATATATTTATACAGAGAGTTGATTTTTGTTTTTTTAAAACAAGAACAGAAATATTAGTCAAAGTGATAAAAAACAATAAAACCACCTTATTCAATATCTAGCATACAGATTTAAGACTGAAAAGTATTTGAAACTAGCACCTCTGATTCTAAACAAGGAAAATGAAGAAATTTTAGCACAATGACTCCCTTGGGCCCCACCCTACAGCCCTTGGGGGAAGGACTGGCTCAAAATTTTCAAAATTTCGAAAGTATCATTTGCCAATATAAACCAAAAAAAATTTTGCCCCCCCCCCCCTTTCCCAAGGGTAAACGTGAGACCCTAGGGTCATGAAAATCACAATTTTGGTAGAGCACCTTAAAACCCTTCCATCTATGAAGAGTATTTGATTCTACCATATCTGGATCTTGAGAAGAAGATTTTTGAAAATTCAGTCAATTTGACCCTTTTTGGCCCCGCCCCTCAGGCCCCTGGTGACCATATAATTCACAATTGGTTGACCTTTGGCCATGGAAGGTTTCTTTACAATTAGTTCAGTAGTTTTTCAGAAGAAGTCGAAAATGTAAATTGTTTACGGAAGGACGCCGCCGGACAAAAGGCGATCGCAATAGGTCACTTGAGACTTTGTCTCAGGTGACCTAAAAATCAAATTACCATGTCTGTATAAATTTTCTAAAATGCAAGTCTGAAGAATCTGCTTGAGCAGATGAAAGTGCTAAGAACATCTTAATGAGAGTTTTTCTTTTCTATTATTTCTTCATCCGTAAGGATCATTTTACTGCTGTTATACATATATAAATCTATAAACAGGGGAGCTTAAGGTGTCTGTGACGCTATCTCTAATTTAAAAAAATCTTTTAATAGTCTTTCTTTACATATTGTATAACCCCTTTATAATGCCAACAGTTTGCTGGACAAATGTTGGCAGTATATCAAGGTTTAAATGTAAATTAATTACAGTAGAGTGGTACTTGTATATATACTCACTTAGAGTTTTGATTTCCATGTAATAATGGTTCATTTCTGTTGTCATTGGTACTAGAAACTGTACCACATGTATGCCCAGGTGTTCTGCTTCAAGACGTATTGTACAATGCAGTTTACTCATGTCAGGAGGCTGAACTTCATGCATATTATACTCTGGTATATCAATGTCTATAGCATCAGACTTCCTGAACATAAATGGCCGCAGAACTGAAAAAGACAAGAAACAAGAAACAAATGAAAAAAAAAGTTCAAAAATAGATCATTTTAGTGGCAGGAAACACCTTAAACAAAATCCTTGATATTCAGTCAATCACTCTGTAATTATTGGTCGGGTGGCGCTGTGGACAGTGCACTTGCCTTTCACCAATGCAAGGCGACCGGGGTTAATGATCCCCCGATCCGACATGAAAATGAATGGGTTCACCTGCCCGACAAAGTGGGATTTCTCCGGGTACTCTGGTTTCCTCCCACAGCAGGACCCTTATGTGCTAACATCTGGGCCAACAAGAGCGATTATAAGTATAAGCTGTAAAATTTGTTTCATAATTGTTGTAAAAATACATAAAGTTAATATTTTTAAGTGGCTCTGTATTGTAGAAATTTTAGAAATAAAAAATTAAGTGAAGTTTCATCCTGCTTGAGGAACTTTTGAGTCTGATCTTTATATTTATTATATATCTGATGTAATAGATATCTAAAGTACAGCCTCATCAATAGAGTTAGAGTTGGAGAACCTTATTAAGAAATCTACTTGCCGTTGCTGTACAACTGTCAATAACCTTCATATATGTTGTTATGACATGCTGAAGTGCTATCTTTAAACATTATCAGAAAATATGAATTAGATGAAATTTGTTCCTACATTTTATTTCACTGATTTTAACTTTTTTCCACATGTGACTCAACAAAATTGCCTAAATGAATTTCCACTAAAATTATACAGATATATATATATAGTGGTCAATAAGTTGAACTGTACAAGTGCAAACATTTTCTGAGTTACATATGTACAACAAACGTACTTTTGTGAATAGACCACTTTCACAATCGCTGTTGTAAACAACATGTTATCATTAAGTGGACCTTTCATGCCACGACTATAGTGAGTTCAGCTTCACAAACCGTCATCCTACTCATTATAACTAAATGTTTTTGTTTGTTTTTGTTGATGACATCAGTCGGATTGAGAAACATGCTCCAGGCAAAGGTGATCACTGCAAACCTTGGTAAAATGATCAGCTCTGTGAAGAGAGATGATGGCAAGGGTTTAAACTAACCATCCACAAGCAAATCTACTTGCTGAGATAATTATCGGATAGTTAGTCCATTCCTTGTTCAATGCAAGAAGGATGATCATTCGGAAAAAAAGTTGCAGAATGTGGTACGGTCCACAGACTGAACAGGTCTGTGGTACGGTCCACAGACTGAACAGGTCTGAAAGGTAAATTGTCCTTCCAAGCTGTACATCTAAAAAAGACTCGTCCAACAAGTGCTGCAGTTTCTTCCTGAAGAGAACAACACAACAAGAAAAAATATTGATGTGGTGAAATTGACTGCTGAATATGATATCTCTGTATTAAATGCTGATGAATCATTGCCACAGCTTATACCAACAACCTTTCACAAGTTACACAGGATCATTCTAAACTCGCTGTCACATTCCTGTGAGCTGGATCCACTTTCAACAGGTCCATGTTTTGAATTATTACTTCCTTTGATTACCTAAATCATGAATAAGTCTTTGGCAGAGTCAAAGAGCTAATGTTTGACCTCCATTCAAGTTAAATTGTATAACCACCCAGTATCATGTCTACAGTTCCTATCTCATATGTGAGCGAAGAATGTGTCCCAGCATCTAGAGGTTCATCTCAATGAAAATAGTCTTCACGACAAACTGCAATTTGTCTATTGCAAGAGTCATTCTACTAAGACGGCCCTCTTACAGGTCCAAAATCACATACCTGAAACCTTAGATAATAAGGTAGACTTAGATATTAGAGCTTCCTCAAAGGTTTCCCAGTACAAATAAAAGAGCATGCATACAAAGCATTAGTCAGGCCAAAACTTGAATACTGCTCTTCCATTTGGGATCCACACAACACAAACCAAATTAAACAAATAGAAAAAAACACAATGAAGAGCAGCATGCTACGTACAAAACAGATACCACAACACTAGTTCCGTGACAGACATGATCCACACACTACAATGGCCAACACTACAAACACAGCGCTGTCACACAAGAATTATCCTTTTTTACAAAATCAAACACAAAATCGTAGCTTTAAACCCAACTCATATATTCACACCCGTAGACCCTCGCACCAGACATGCGCACCCTCACGCATACAAACACATATCTGCTACAAAGGACACCTACAAATATTCATTCTTTCCACACACAATAAAACAATGGAATCTCCTTCCCATATCAGCAGTACAATGCACAACACTAGAGGACTTCAAGGCACACTTACCCTACACAGCCCTTGAAGCCCTCATCGCACGCTTAACATACGCCAGATTTTATCTTTTTATCTATACCTTGCACAAAAAAATCACAACCCCCCCCCCCCAATCACTGTAAATAACCCCCCTTTTCACGTCTCTGCAATAGGACCCCCCGAGGGCATAAACATCAAATTGATGGACCCGTACGACAAAGAAGAAGAAGAGGATACCAGGCTTGTCATGTTAGACTTTTCTGCTCTATTTGACATCATTGACAATGGCTTACTTTTCAGACATCTGGAGTACTGTTATGGGGATGGCTGGCAATGCATGGTTGCATGGAAACTGGTGTTTTGTAAATGTAGCTGCCACTTTGTGAAATAGTTCACTATCTGCTATCAGAGAGATGTTAAAACCCTATATCATCTGTTTACATCTGCATTTTAGACTATTTAGTGCAGATGTTCTGTAAAATCAAGATCTGCACCCTATATACAGATAAAATAGCTAACATGCATGCATTGTAATGCTAATTGTATAGTAAAGAATTATATGTCTTCAATATATACATATATAAGGAACGAGTTTGAGCATAAAACAAAGTTTATCTAAATAGGCAGAAACATTTCTATACATGTATATATACATAATCTCATACCTCTTCTAAGTGTGTCTTCCATGATTATGTCCTGAGCTTCCTCAAAAGTTTCCCAGTACAAATCATCGTACTGCTGGTACTCCGTGATAGGAATTGTTCGGTGTGACTGTGTGTCAATCTTTACCTTTGAACCTGTGTGTGGACATCAAGGTCATGATCACATGAAACTAGACTCAGGTCATATATCATACATGCTATCACTATAGTAATCGTACTATTTGTCACAAATATGACAAAGTGACTCTGAGTACAAGTAGATTCATTCATAAATCAAAGTTAGTAGGCATTGAGTCAGTGACATAATACATAACAGCAATAAATGTAAGGAACTTAAAACAAAAACAGTTATTTTATGTGTGATTTTACAAACGAGAGGCCCATCAGATCTTTATCACTCACAAGATTTTTTGTGATCTAAACCTGACATGAATAAAACTTGTTTACATATATAAATTTGAGACCATGGTAGCCATTTCAAATTTCCTGTTGACCCAAACAATTTAAAGATGGACACTTGCTAGGGACAAGTAAACAGAAAAAGAATATACTCTCAAAAATGTCTGAGCCAATCGTAGCACAGGGTGGCTGTTTTGGACTAAATATCAGTCCAAAAAATAAAAGCATCTGTTCAGAGTGATGAGGAGAATATTACTCACATCAAAGCTGGTTACCATTGGCATAACAGAAATTTTGAAGTTGGCAATTTAAGGATAATACAACAAATTTGAAATTTAAGCCCGTAAAATAACAATTGTGTGATGAGAAGATAATTTACACCAGTTTTGTTCAACATTCTCTTTATAATTAGAACTTGAGAAGAGGTCGGAAATGTGTTTGCCCCAGATTCCTAATCTTCGGATACTCCGGTTTCCTCCCACACTAAGACCCCCCAAAATAACTTGATTATTATAAAATAAATAAAGTTTATTTTAAAAAGTAACAGGAACCTTATTATGGTTAAGTGAATTCCAACTTCCCAATAATAGTCTCCCTGTATCTAGTTTGGAATGTTTAGTCAGATGAACTAGGACATGAATTATAACAAAACATTTAAAGACCCCTATATATATAATACCTCCATGTGACTTAATTATGGAAAACTGCACTCTTTCTTCCCAAGATGTCTCTCAGTAGTGAGTGTCAAATCTGAGACTACTTGAGATGGTATACCTAGGCATGTAGGAAAGAGCAAAAACAAGAAAAAGCTAATGAAGTACTCCCCTCATCATTTCAAGGGATGAAATATCACAGTGTACCTCATAAAAAATAGCTGCAGAATTTTGCAAAACTCCCCTTAAAGCAGTTTCATAATAGTATTCGCGAAGAAATAATAACTGAAAATTATCTTACCTATGAATATAGAAAAGTCAAGAATACTGGGATACATGTAAAATGGACGATACAATGTTTCAATGTAGTATAAATCATGTTGGAATATTTCCTATACTAATTGCTTTGTGCTCTAATGACCGGATCCAGACCTGTGATTATCTGGGGTTATAAATAAAGTACTTACAATCACTCCTGAGAACTACAAGTGGAAAGAAGCCGCCTTCTGGCTGTATCATGTGTTTGGCAAGAGCGACCTCCTTGTCAAACGTTAGGAAGACCATGACCAACTGTTGTGACCTGCAGTCAAAATCAGGCTTTTTCTGCTCCTCTGGATTGTAATAAACACCAATGCCCACCACTGAGCCAGACTTCACCTTTAACACTAGAGAGGAAATACACTTCAGGTTTTAAGTTTATCCTTTATTGTAGTCAGGTTTGAAATAAAAGAAATCGCCAAATAAGATGTGACGTTCATAAATACATGTATGTCAAAATGTTTTTTAATTAAGGAGACTCCACAGTTTCGCAATTAACCAGCGGAATTTGTTGAAACTTTCACATAATGGTTATGCAACTATGTAGAGGCGATTTAACAGATAAAAGTGATTAACTACAAGATAAAAGCAAACCAGACACATAGTTTCATACAAAAATAGTGGAAAATCGAACAAAATTAACACGATGGGTTTACTTTAACTTATTTTATATTTTACACTCACTTTGATCATGGTGAGAGTGGTATTGCTTGAAAAATATCGGAACTTTTTGCAGAGGAATAAAAATTACACAATGACAGTTATCTCTTTTAAAAAAATTCAAAAATGATTGAAATAGATTAAAAAACTTTAAACCAAATTAAAAAGTGACAATTTCTTGTTCTTTTATGACGCTAAATTACTCTCAATAAAGTACACTTTGGCCATCATTCCAGAGCCCGCTAGCACATGGTATATTTACATGGCAGGTACATATGTAACCAGAGGCTATTGCAGGTAAGTCTCGATATTTTTTTTGTTTTTATTTTTTTATATTTTTTTAATTTTCAAAAGAGGTTTTTTAATACAGTGACAATAATAATGGATCAGTAATTCATTCAGATCCTATAATAACCTATTTGTCACCAATCATCTTTCATATCACCACTCATACCATACATATTATGCAAAAAGAAATTTGTATCACTAGAGACTGCATATGGATAGGTATTATTTCATTTAATATCACACTGCATTGGTATAGGGAAGAAAGAAGGATAAAAGGAAAGAAGAAGCTGGTAAGAAAACAAAAAAAAGAAAGAAGAAAAGATAAAGACAGATAGATATCGGGTGTTGACATAACATCGTCAGGCACATGTACTATTGTTTACCGAATGTTACTATAATTTACACTATGGCATTGAAATGCCCGATACGCAATACGGAAAGGACGACACGAAAATATGACAATATGAAAATATAAATTGTGTACTACCAAGGGTGGGAAGTCCTTAACAGTGTAGATAATACTTTCATCGAAACATTAACTGCAACTGAATTGCTTAAAGATATTATTAAGTTTTATTTAAAAAAAAATCAAATTCAGCGAATGTTATATAAATTAAAATAGATGACATACCTTTCCCATCTGCTTCCCATCTAAAGAAGTCCCTTAAGAGTTCACAGGTAGGAGTTGGAGACATGGGACTACAGGTGGCGACACCTATTGCAGGACATACTCCAGATGTATCCATATCCTGTACGATAATCTCAAAATGCTGAAAACCTGAAAAATATCACAAAATATGAAATTTGTTTACTGGTAGACTACCAAAACGATGCTTCCAATAAATTTATAAGAAGTATTACAAATTCCCATATCTCTTACATTGTAACTTAAAATCCTTCCTATAAATTTCACCTACAACAATCTAGAAACGTTATAGTCAGAATGAGCACATACTTCATTAATCAAGGAAATTGGTTATTAAAACCTTCCATAAGAAACAATAGGCCCAGAGGGCCTGTATAGCTCACCTGAGTGTTTAAGCAGTCATTCTCAAACTTTGTCGGGCTCTATCTCAGGAAGCCAACAACCAAATATGAAGGTTCTATACCTTTTAGTTCTTCAGAAGAAGTCGTTTAAAGAGTTTGACATATCTGACTCCTGTGACCTTGAAAGTAGGTCAAGGTCGTTTTCATTCTCAAATTTTGTTGGGATCTTTCCCAGGAAGCTACCAGCCAAATATTTAGGTTCTATACCTTTCAGTTCTTCAGAAAAAGTCGTTTTAAGCATTAAACATATCTGACTCCTGTGACCTTGAAAGTAGGTCAAGGTCATTTTCGTTCTCAAACTTTGTCGGGCTCTATCCCAGGAAGCCACCAGCCAAATATAAAGATTCTATACCTTTCAGTTCTTCAGAAGAAGTCGTTTGAAGTGTTTGACACATTTGACCCCTGTGACCTTGTAAGTAGGTCAAGGTCATTTTTATTTTCATACTTTGTTGGGCTCTATCCGAGGAAGCCATCAGCCAAATATAAAGATTCTATACTTTTCAGGTCTTCCGGAAAAGTCGTTTGAAGTGTTTGACACATTTGACCCCTGTAACCTTGAAAGTAGGTCAAGGCCATTTTCGTTCTCAAACTTTGTTGGGCTCCATCCCAGGAAGCCACCAGCAAAATAGGAAGATTCTATACTTTTCAGTTCTTCTGAAGAAGTTGTTTGAAGTTTTAGACATATTTGACCCCTGTGACCTTGAAAGTAGGTCAATGTCATTTTCATTCTCAAACTTTGTCGGGCACCTACCATCAAATCTTTCAGCCAACTATCATGACTCTAGTCCTGTCCGTTCTTCAGAAGAAGTTGTTTAAAGGAAAAGTTGACGGACGAGGACGGACAGACGCCGCACCATGACATAAGCTCACAGGTGATCTAAAAATCAATGTGATTTTCTACATGTGACTTAAATTTTTAAGAAGTGAATATACGCCTAGGATATGATCATAATTTTGACATTACAAGTGTTATGCTTAATTGGAAGCTGACATATCCTCGATCGTTTCTTACAAGTAGATCTTACCTGTTTCTAGTGGTTGCGGACTTTGTATGGTAGCAAACTCTACTGGATGACCAGGAGGTTCGTTATATGTAAATATCTGTTTGGCGATATCATATTGGATATGTTTGGCATGCATCCACTGGAGCATGTTCCTCTGTCGAATAGAAAACAATGGAGTATATTGAAATGTGCAGGGGCTTACCCACCCAGCCACTGAGTGTTGCTGAGCGGGTCCCCAGGGTTACACTGCATGGCTAGAAAAGCTGCCAGTAAGGTAGTATTTTCACCTGAAATTCCTTAGCTGTTTCAATTTATCTTAATAATATAACACTCTTTCATGCCCAAGGGTGTAGGATAGGGAAAATCCACCGAGGGGTTTACAAATTTAGTAAAAATCCGAGGCTTGCCAGAGGGTTTTGCCAAATTTGAAAAATCACGAGGGTGGAATTTCCCTATCCTATACCCTTGGGCATAGAAGAGTGTTTTTTTTTCTCATTCCAACCACCAGAATAAGCTCAGAAACCATGAAAATGTGTTTGGACTGGCCACCATTTTAAAAATATCAATTTTCCCCCTGAGATTTTTTGACGAAAAATGAATCTGTCAGCCAGGTTTAGCATATACCCCATATTTGCAAACAGAGCAGAAAAATTAATCACATCTTTCTTACATATACAATAAATATATCATAAATGGTTTTAATTTCATCAAGTCACCTTTTCCACATTGGACATCGGAGGTTTCCAAATTTATGACGTCACGTCATTGTTGAGCCATTGTGACGTCACGTCACGTGAAATGGGGTACGTGTAAGATAGACATTTCCTACACCCCTTTCTTACCCTGGACAGCTCTATCTTACATACAGGGAAATTAGAGAAAGCCTTATCTTAGTTCCCTGAAATATATTGTACTGTATTAGAATAATCAGCACATACTGTAGACTTGAACGGAAATGTAAAATGCACATCAATGCATGGAGTTATCTTTGGTAGAAACATTAATAGAGTATCTTACATCATCAAACCTGGGCACACCTATAGCAGCTTCTGGCCACATTATACCCATGTCTATTGGACCATTCTCCAATGTTATTGTTGGCAAGAAATCTTCATGGTTTGTTTCAAAATGGTATCTGAAAAATTATAAAACAGTCATTGTCTTATTGTTTAAGTTTGAAGATACTATTCAAGTTAAGAGTTCATTTTCAGTTCCCATCATTTATCTATAACAGTAATTTCTATGATGGTACAAATCTTTACAATGTAATATACAACTGTGTTGCAATTTTGTATCACAGTTGTAGAAGGTCTTAGGTCTTTACAGGGCCCCTCTGGGCCCACAGACTAGGCAGGCTGCAATCAAACATCCAAAATTGTTTTGATAATGATATTTACATTAGCAGTAGCAATCCCTCCCCATCATCCCAATGTGGGGTAACAAAAGACATGTATTCATATATACATAAATGCCGTATAAACTTTTATTTCAGGCTTATTCCAGTTTCTTTGGCATTGAGATTGGAGATTTACCTTGTTGCCACTGGTTTTCCATTCTTCACAAACATCACAGTGGACATAGTTTGGCCAAAGTAGGTGATCATTACTCCAAATGTGTCACCTGTAGCACATACATCGTCAGTTGTCATTGCCAATCATAAGCTATACTTAATCAAATACTTAAATAAGGTACAATCATATTTTGATCATTTAGTAACACAAAATTCCATTGTTTATGCAATTCAGATTGGACCTAAAATTAACTCCCATTGTCGATGGGTCATTGAACAATACAAAAACAAATTACGCACTTCAGACATTTCATATGTGACAGGTGCATTACATATAATGATAGATAGAGCCAACCACTAATTTAGAACTTAAGAAAATAAGAAGAAAAATATTAAGATGCATAAAATTATACATTAACCTTGTGGAATAAGGGAATCATGATTCTTTGTTTTTGCCAAGATGAATAATATTTTGTGAGAAAAAAAATTCTTGAAGAATGTTGAATGTCAACTTATCCTTGATATGTAGATATACACAATAATGCAAAATACATACCAATCCTAAACCTTTCTCCATTGCTATTTGCGATGTCACTATGACATGTATAGCAGTTGCCAGTATCGCTGTGGTAGCCCACTGTCCTGTTCCATTTCCCAGGATGGGCATCATCACCAAGGTTAGGTCCAGCTATCCCAATGGTTATCTTGCTCTTTGTTGCTAGAAAATAGGAACGTTAATATATGCACTTGAGACTTTTAATTCAATTCAAGGTTTTTTACAAAGTAGTTTAAAAAGAGCCTCATGCATATATTTGCCAGTATATAAAATAAGCTATATATATTACCACTTATTTTTAATGTAATTGCCTATAAATGGTGCCATATTGTTTACGGATTTGCCAGTATCCAACTGAAAATTCAAATATCTATGCTTCATTTGATCCATTTCATTTTAGACAAGCTGTCTGGAGAACCCTATAATATTTATGTTTGTGTTTGGTTCACTCTGTTGTTTTTATTTTTTATTTTTTCTTGTTAAATTTGATTTTATTCACAACATATTTTATACTGATTGTAAAAGCTCACCAACTAGGTTTGAGGTCTGCAACCATACTGGTGCTAAAAATTACTTTATTAAATTTAAAAACCAATAAGACAACAGAAATTTGAAACATTGTGCATTTTAGAATTTCTAAACAGATAAAATTTATGACTATTATTTAACAGTTATGATATTTTCGCCACTTTTTTTTGTTGTTAAAAATTTTAAATTAAATTTATCTCATGGAATTAAGCTAGGTTTAAGTACACAGATAAATCAGTGAAAAGATGGCATCATATATTATATAAAATAGCAAGAACTTACACAGTGCTCGTATCTGACCAAAGAAATATGGATACCGAGGACTTAGAGCTTTGGTGCACTGTAGGAAATTACTGGTCTCTGAAAATTGTTTGAGCTGCACATCCATAATTTGACCTGGAAATGGTGGATGTCCATCAAACACTATATCACCAGCATAGCGGAACAAGTCTGCCATCCTTGACACTGCGCTCACCTCACAAAAAAATCTGCAAATTCAAAACACACATATGTTGGACATCAGCTGTTGGTGATAATAAGATCAGATTTGGATCAAAAAATAATCCATTTATTGATATATGTGAGGTATGTGTTGTGCCATAGTCAATTTTTGTTGTCAGCACTTCATAACTCTCTGATACTAAACGGTGGTGGAGAATTCCACGTTTTCATATATTGTAGGAGTGCGATCTGGCCCCCCACCAGACATCTATATGGATGTCATAATGTCTAAATCTGGTGTTAGGGCCAGAGGAAACTCCGGCTAGCATACACACAGTCACTAAAACATTAAGGGTCAGTCACATGCACCACTGTAGCAGGAGGGTAAAAACATAAGACGTGGCTTGGATTTGAACCTGGGACTATCGACACTGTAGGCAGATGCTCTTACCAATTTAGCTAATTAGTTGCTGGTGATCAACCAAGGCCTAAGTTCTCCTACAATTAATTGTCATATATAATTGTCATTATCATTATCTCTTATAATAATAAATTGCAACATTGGATACCACTCAGACTCCCTTAAATATGACTGTTACATTCCTTAAACATGGCATACGCAATATTTATATTTAGTTATAAGAATTAAATACTGACTTATGATCAATTAGCCTAACTGATAACTAAATATCCATTTTTTACAAACAATTTAAGGTTTCAGGAGTGATATTTATGCGTGAATAGACCGAGATGTACCTTTGTTAGATATTTTGATGATGTTTACAATCGGGTTTTTTAGAGAATAAATGCCATAGATTCTCCAAAATGTAACACAACTCCTTCTTCGTACGTACAGTTATAGAGTGGAACCACATGGAAGATGACGTAGTATGTGCCCCTAATTTGGAGGCCTTTAAGGGTGCTATAACGCACCAAAAATCAAACTGAACTGCTCTCTCTCTCCCGTTGTAAAAAAACGGAACCGGGTACTACGACGTACAGATACAGATACAACGCATGTCGGCCGTGTTAACCATAGGTGGTGGGCACGTCTATCAAAAAAAAAAAATGAATATATAAAACTCATTTTTTTGATAGACGTGCCCACCACCTATGTGTCAACTGATGCATAACATAAACTTAAGCTTAACGTTACGTGAAAACGAAATACTTTACCGTGATATTCGGACACTATCAAAATCCACAAAGAAGCTGAAGTATAAACTTACACATGTTATTTTCCTAAGCACTGGTTTCATTTACAATATCATTCATTTTTTCTTCATCATGAAGCGTGTTTACATTGTTGCTAAACACTACGCTCATGCGAGCCAATGTAAAATACCGAGATACACCGAAAATGCGTAATACTAATCATTGTGAAAGACAAAACGATACTATCATAAAGCGTCTACGGGTCATAACTTGGATTAGTTTGGAGTTTTGTGGCAATGACAACGACAGTAATGATTTGAGATGTCATTGTAGAGTTGAAGAAGTTATGCAAACCGATTGTCAACATACAAATGAAAAACTAGTTAAACATTGTTGATAAACAACGAGAAGCACATTCACTTAATTACCTCGCTGTTTTTTATTCTTCAATTTTCATAGGTAGACATTTGTATGTCTTATACAGTAGCGTTAATTTGAAGAGTGTATTGATGTAGCAAGTTAAACCCCAAAAGTATAAATTATTATCATTAAATGGGCGAGTTGACTATGAATAGACGGTATATCAAGACAAAGAAATACAATGTAAGAAGTCAAATCGTCCAAACATGTCATAGCAAAGATGAAGGCACGCGGCCAGCTATTTGATTGGACTCAAGTGAAAAAGCCTTACCAATCGCAGGCTGCTATCAAGGAGCGACACCCGACTTCAAAGCCAGTAAATTTTACCGTTATGCGACCGCGAAGCCGATATTCTTCTGATGTACATGTATCCTCGTGTTATCGGTTTCCGCGCACTTAAGAAGCAGTCGCGATTTCGTACTCATATCGGCAGAAAACTGTTGAAATTACGGATGACTGTCATGGACATGTACACAATCTTCTAATAGAAACAAAAAACTAGCTAATCAAACAGCATTTCAATAAAATCAGAACAAACATTTTTTAACAAATTTCTCCCATCGGAAGTAGCTGTCATACGTTTTCGTGTGTCTATTTTGTTTAAAGTGTTTAAAAAAAAGATAAATCGAATGCACTTAAAATAAAAAAGCTTCGTTTGGATTTTTTTTTTTTATCTTTGATCGTCAAATTAATTATCATAACATTTTTTTAATGGGTTTTAACGGGTTATTTCTAGTTTTAAAGACTTATAATTACGTACTGTTAGTATTTGTGTTATCGGATTTGCAGGGTTTCTTAGATATTTAAGGAATGCATTCTTTATAATTTGATTTAAAAAAAGTAGACAAACACGTTGTAAATAGGCAAAATTAAATTATAGTGAGATAAGTAAAATACGGAAGTCCGATGTAGATTTTTGTGATACATATTTGAAGATTCGCGTTCGAGAGGGAAATATGTATAGGGAAAAGAAGCGGATGTCGTAATCGCAAAAACGAAGAAATCTACTTGTCCAGTGTCTATCTTGAAGAGATATTTTGTAAAGGCAGGGATTATCGATAAATCTGAGGATTACATATTTCGGAGCTCTCTGCCTACTGCCGATGGGTGTTCTGGATGGTAACTATGGTAACCGATGATTTAAAATAGTGCGGACATTAACTTTTTCAAATATATAATGTGCGGTGTTTAATGCAAAATAAGATCAACTTTCAAAAACGAAAGGAATATCAAGTGATGGTTACTATTAGATTCTAGATTTTAGATAAAAAGCTGTCATGTGTCTTATCTTATACCACATTTATAACGACACCCCCTTCAAATAAGTAGTTTAATTCAGCATTGAATCTCTATATACGACTTCCTGGTCATCTCTAGGCAATTAACGAATAACGTCACAAAACATAACCTTGAGTTCACTATAACCCATATCAACATGTATCGCTATGCATGGCACAAAACATCAATCTACATCATGTCCATGCATAACATCTCAGTACATGTAATTTTTGAGACACATATGTATTCCTTGAAATACAGGTGTCAAAAAAGCATCTTAGCACGATTGATTTATTCTCAGAACGTATTTTATTTTAAGCTGGTATCTGAAACTTCGATAGTTCATCTGAAATGATTGTATCATTTATTTAATTCAGTTTTGATACCATCACCAGCGACGTGTTTATTATTTTTTGCATAGTTTTTAACGTTCAAATGGTGATCATGTACATGGCCTATACTGTATTGCATATTTAACGTTATTTTAAAAGCTGTAATGTTACTATTTCTGACCCTTAAAAAACTGGTTATAGTAGCCAATGAGAATTTCAGATTTGATATGCATATATGCATTGTCAGTAATAATGCATTATGTAATTATAACTTCGAAAACCTCCATAATATTTGAGCAGCACCGTCCACAGCCCAGGCAGTCTTGGTTTTCGGAGCTTTTGTCGCTTCTGGTGGAAGAGCCTCTGGCTCTCCTTCTCAGAGCGAACCTCCTTCGCCAGCCTCGGTCCAGGACGATGCACTCTCGTCCGGAGATCCTCCACCTTCTCGTGTGGAAAGCCTCAGGAGGCGTCGCTCAGGCGGGATTTTCTAGGGACGTGTCAGATCGCATCGCTCGATTAATTAGGTCTTCCTCATCTGCCGTCTACCAGTCACGATAGAAGATTTACTGTGATTGGTGTGTCGGCAGGAAGGTTGATCCGATCAAGGCTACTGTTCAGGTGATTGCAAACTTCCTTCTATGGCTGTTTAGGGACCGCAGTCTTGCCCCTGGCACTATCGCTGGTTATCGCACGGCCATTGCTAGTGTTCTCTCTATTCATGGTAGGCCGGGGGTAGACTCGTCCTCCTCTCTTTCTGCCTTAATTTGGGGGTTTGGGTTGGACAGGCCTAGGGTCCGGCAGTTGGCTCCGCAGTGGAATTTGCCACTGGTGCTCGAATCGCTGATGCGGGCACCTTATGAGCCTTTAGCGTCTGCCTCCTTGAAGTGTGTTACCTACAAGGCGGTATTCTTTATTGCCTTGGCCTGCGGTCGAAGGAGGAGTGAGCTTCATGCCTTGTCTTCTCACCTCTATTGCCTCCGGTGGTCTAGGACTTACTCTGCCGTTACCCTTCTCACTGATCCTGACTTCATGACTAAGAATCAGGTTCCTGGCTTCTCGCCCGATCCTAGTAAGATTCCGTCTTTGACTGCCTTCGTTGGGTCTGAGGTTCATCTGTCCCTGTCAGGCGCTTAGGTTTTACCTCGATAAAACCAGGGGGTGTCATCGATCTCGTCTGTTTTTGCCATTAAGTAGGGTCAGCAGAATATCTCCTCCCAGTCAGCGTCTAAATGGATCTGTCAGGTCATCAAGTACGGTTACGAACACTCAGATGATCAGGTTCGGGCGTTGTATAAATAGAGGTTACACAACGAGTGGTTGTTGAATATGGTATTTATTTCACTCCAGTTAGTTAATTTTCAAAGTTACAAAAGACACGATCTTTAGCGAGTGTCTTTCTGTAACTTTTGAAAATTAACTGACGAGAGTGAAATACATACCATACTCAACAACCACAAGTCGTGTGATCTGTTTCTACCACAAAATCAGTCCGAAACATCTGGAGTATTATCTGATTTGAATAGCAAACACACAATTTGTTGACAAGGCTGGCGTAGTGATATGACCCATATGTAAAAAGTAACTTTTTAATATTAAAAAATGACTTTATTTTTTACAAATTTGATAATTTTCAAAGTTAATGTTTCGACAACAACTTCGTGAAAAAATAAAATAGATGAAAGACTTTAAGTATTGAGAGTATGCAATATTGCATTAATTAATAGAAATTAACCACGGACTATATGCGCGTATATATAACGTACGAAATCTGCCTCCCGCCAAGTGATGAACACGAACTAATCGCTGTCAATGTCCAAAACCATAGTCCTGGGACGTTTCTGCATGAGGTTGTATGGTTGACGTTTATAGTGAGTCCCGCCATGGACGGGCCCTCCAAATATTGATAACTGGATATGGGGAGAACGAAATATTTTCCGACACTGTTACAGATCTTGTTTGGGTTTCACAGAGACAAACATCGGTATATTACGTCTCTTGGTTTCACGACCTGAACACGCGACGGTATGGCGTCGAAACGATATCGAGCGTCTGTAGCAATTTTGCCTTAAACTAGCGATCAAATCTTTAAGCATCATCTTCTTTTGGTATTGCCTTAATAACTCTCTTTTCCCATCGCATAACCTCACAAAAGTCACCAACATTTGCCGGATGTTGACAGCAGACGACGTAAACATAACAGCACGCGGCAAAAAGCGCGTGAAAAAAATCGTCCGGTCAAAGTTCATCTTCTCGACCAATCAAAACTACGAAAGATCATATACCACGTGTGGTGTATCACTCATATTTATTCAACAGTCTGCATGTTTATACAATGATCTGAGAGTAGAATAATACAGCGTATTGTGGTAGAAGGTGAGAGCTCCAGATACCAGGGTCCTTGCTGCGTCATTGGCCCTCCTCAATGGGTCCCCCTTTCAGGAGGTCATGTCCGCGGCTTTCTGGCGAGGGCAGACTAGGTAAATGAGTGAGATCAATACATATTGAAACTTTTAAAAATTGGACAACATTTGTATTCACTGTCATAAGTAGTACATTACTTGATATCAACTACAAAAATCGCTATACATTTGAGACCAGTTAGTTGTGAGTGGAAAAGAGTTAAATAAATATGAATAACATTCTGCTAAAAGTAGGAGAATTCGGTTTATACCAGAAAGGTGTGTTCACATTAATTGGCTTGAGTACCCTGTTTTGTGGATTGTATGAAACAATGTCGGTGATATTTCTGAATTCACCTGAGCACAGGTATGTTCCAATTTTTTTATATTGTTTTGATTGCATTACAATTTGCAGAATGTGCAAATATGTATTTCTCAACATTGTACCATAGACTATATTCTATTGCTCATTTACTTGTTTGATTACGGCATTTTGAGTCATTTAAAACTAAACATCACTAAAAATAAAAAGTTCATAAAAAAATCAAGCTTAAACATAAGAGCCAAAAAAAAATAAATATATATATATATAATAAATGCAACTGGATTGGCTGTAAAATATCCGATCTTACCTCACAGATTAATTGAATTTAGATACTGTAATCATACGTTAATGGCACAAAAACTGTACCAAACAAACCTTTATAGTTATTGCATTATACACATATCTTTTAT